GACTGGCTATAACCGCTCTCGTACCTCAGTCCGCCTCACGCAGCACTCTAATATAACCAGTGCCGGTACTTGTAATATACTCCAATCCTACCTCCAATTCGCCCATCCCATTGGCCATCATGGCGGCCCCACGGAAGAGTGTTGGCCTCGTGAGAGCATTGCAGGCACCCTCTACTGGCCTTCTATCGCTGTCGAGGAACGGCTTAAGCCAATCATCGAGACTCAGCGCGCCGAGGCAATCTAGGTGTTTAAGTACGACAAACAGCCGGTTATCACATCTTGCAGCTTTCAAGATCCCCAAGGTTCTTAACGAGCCCAACGTGCGTCCCCCGAGGCCAATTGCAGACTTGTTTTAGTCATTATACGGAGCCAGATAAGCTGACCGTGAGAATAGCACTATTATGCGAAGAATTCGGCGCAGCGAGATGGTCTTCTTTCGGCAGTTGATGCGTCTCGAAGTAGGGGCGTTGTAGAAGTACCCATTGTCGTAGGGGGCAAAGAGGTATGAGGGCTTTGTCCTGAGATGTTTCTCCTTCATTCTCTAACTAGCGGACAGATCACGACTTCACAAACTGCTACTCAGAAGAACCCCTCCGATCATGCTGTCACCGTTGCTTCCTATTCCCTCGCCTCGCCCTCCGATGTTAGCAATGCAATTGAGGCTGCCTTGGCCGCGAAGCCAGCATGGGAGTCATTGCCCTTTGCAGAGCGAGCCTCCGTGTTCTTGAAGGCAGCCGATCTCATCTCGACCAAGTATCGATACGAGGTCATGGCCGCCACCATTGTAGGCCAGGGCAAGAACGCGTGGCAAGCTGAGATCGATGCTGCCGCCGAACTGTGTGATTTCCTGCGTTTCAACGTTCAATATGCTGAGGAGATGTACGCTCAACAACCCGCCCATAACTCTCTCGGCGTATGGAACCGGGTCGAATACAGACCATTGGAAGGATTTGTCTACGCTGTCAGTCCGTTCAACTTCACTGCTATTGCGGGCAACCTCCCTGGAGCCCCAGCACTCTTGGGTAACGTGGTGGTTTGGAAGCCATCTGATTCTGCCATTGCCTCTAACTGGTTGCTTTACAACATTCTGCTAGAAGCCGGGCTGCCGAAGAACGTGATTCAATTCGTACCGGGTAACCCTGAGGAAGTTACAAAGACTGTTCTTGCACACAAGCAATTTGCAGCACTCCACTACACCGGAAGCACAGCCGTCTTCCGCAAGCTCTATGGACAAATTGGACAGGGTACGGCAGAGGGCCGGTACCAAGGTTACCCGCGCATTGTCGGCGAGACGGGCGGTAAGAATTTCCACTTAATTCACCCTTCTGCGGATATTGATAACGCCGTTGTGCAAACCGTGCGTGGTGCATTCGAATTCCAAGGCCAGAAGTGCAGCGCCACGAGCCGCCTCTACGTTCCGAAGTCCGTCTGGCCAGAATTCAAGGAGAAGCTCATCAAGGAAACGAGTGCTCTGAAGATCGGTGCCCCATGGGATCCTCAGAACTTCATCGGCCCCGTAATCCACGAGCCCAGCTTCAAGAAGTTATCGGGGGTCATTGACAATGCTAAGAACGATTCCGAATTGAAACTTCTCGTCGGAGGCAAATACGACGGATCAAAGGGCTACTTCATCCACCCAACTATCTACCAGACCACAAACCCCTCACACAAGTTACTCAGCACCGAGCTCTTCGGACCTATCCTAACAACCTATGTCTACGACGACACGAAGGGTGACGCGGCCCAGGCTTTCCTGGATACGTGCAAGCTTGTCGACAGCACGACCGAGTATGGACTGACGGGCGCAGTTTTTGCAAGCGACAGGGCTGCTGTCCAGGTCGCGCAGGAGGCGCTACGCAACGCGGCGGGCAACTTCTACATCAACTGCAAGAGCACGGGTGCAGTAGTAGGTCAGCAGCCGTTCGGAGGCGCACGCGCAAGCGGGACAAACGATAAGGCTGGCAGCATGAACCTGCTCGGTCGCTTCGTCAGCGTCAGGAGTATCAAGGAAGAGTTCACGCCGACACTCAAGGTTGAGTACCCTAGTAACGAGGTATAGAAGAAGTGATTAGATAAACGACGCTATGCACGGGCTTTGGCTATGAGCTTGTGTTTTTTTCTGCAGGATCAGGCACACTCTGGCGTTTTGGGGCAGAATAATGATGCATAGCATTTTTCTTTTACCAGGAGGCATTTTTCTGCTATGACATGTTTATCTACCTAGAATGAAAATACATTCAAATTCATGAAGAATGATCTATATGCTTTGAAATCTGAGACTGACTCGGAAGCTAGGAGACTATGAGAATCTGGATCTCAAGACCCAGCTGATTGTTTGAAGATCCGGGTATGAAATTGTCATATTTGGGACTCGCAGAGAGAGGATACTATACATAAACCGAAAGGCAGCTATTTAGATCCGGTTGGTATGGTATTCTTCAATCCCACACCAGCATAGCCTTGACTGAGTAAGCAATGTTGGATTATAACATTCGATGTGAGAAGCATAAAGGCAGAGGAAGAAATTGATCGTCTCAAGTCTCCCAAGGAAGATTAGAATCATTTTTACCTCTTTCGGGGTTTTTCGAGACGAGCTTGCACCCACGTCGTTATACCCAAGTCCTAGGGTACTTTCTATCCGCCACTAGGGCTAATTGACTCCCTTGGCAGCAGCGGATAGAACGGGATGTTCGATGCACATTCTGAAGCTCTATGCTTAGAAACGAAAATGCTTGTATCTCATTAGCTGGTTCACCTAGATACTTACGTAGTATAGATAGGAACCAGGTAATGTTATACTGCGTAAGTAATAAAAGACTTTGCCCATCTTGAACGAGACTACCTAACCTCCCCTCCCCTTTTGCCGTCGCCCCAATCTTCCGATCTTTACTTTTGTAGACTCACCCTTGCCAAGTTACATTTAAGCGCCTGAACACCCCAGCATCCCTGCTAATTCATGGAGATGCTGTATCTATACCTTGCCTACCGGTGTGCAATTGCCGATACCTACCCAGTACGGCAAGACCCGCCAGGACAACATGACACCACCCGTCTTTGCCGACGGCATCTCTCAAACACTATTCATTAGTAACATGCAGAACCGTTGGTGGATACTTGATTAAGAAACGAACATACACTAGATACAGAAAGGCATCTAGGGTAAAAGCAGATCGAAAATACAATCATGGCAGACGAAATCCGGCCCTTCACCATCGCTATCCCGGACGCCGGGCTCGAAGATCTACGCGAGCGTCTCCGACGCACCCGCTTCCCGGACGAGCTCGAGGATGTCGGCCATGATATGGGAGCGCCGCTCAAGGACGTGAAGCGCCTCGCGACGTACTGGGCCGAGAAGTACGACTGGCGCAAAGCCGAGGCAGAACTGAACAAGCTGCCTCATTTCATGACTAAGCTCCAGGCGACGGGCTTCGAGCCGCTGGACATCCACTTCGTGCACGTGCGGAGCAGCCGGAAGGACGCGATTCCTCTATTATTCTCGCACGGGTGGCCGGGTTCTTTCTTGGAAGCGACCAAGATCATCACGCCGCTGGCGGAACCCGAGGATGCCTCCCAGCCCGCGTTCCACGTCGTCGCGCCCTCGCTGGCGGGATACGGGTTCTCCGAGGGCCCGAGGAAGCGCGGTTTCGCCCTGGACCAGCACGGTGAGATCTTTCATAAACTCATGCTGCGTCTCGGATACGAGGAATACGCCACGCAGGGCGGTGACTGGGGGTTCCTGATTACGAGGGCTATGGGGAGGCGATATGCACCCAAATACATCAAGGCGCAACATCTGAATGCGGACCTCTATCCCCAGCCTACGTTGTGGAGAAATCCTCTCACCTTCTTCCGGACCATGATTTCCGGCCTCATCACGGGCTTTTCTGAGAGAGAAAAGAAAGGTTTCGAGCGCTCTAAATGGTTCAAGGATCAGGGTTCGGGCTATTTCAGTGGTATGTACCCCCCGCCTCCCAATTCTAGGGTAACTATGAGAATCGGGCTCTTGTGACTATAAGCCATCGATATAGAACACATCTTTTGTCTATTTCTGGCCGATTTGCCTTGAGCTGGTCGGACGAAACTAACTGCTAACGCAATCACAGTGCAGAGTACGCGGCCGCAGACTCTCGGCTACGGCCTCGCTGACTCGCCCACGGCGCTGCTCGCTTGGATCTACGAGAAGCTCGTCGATTGGACGGATGAATACCCCGTAAGCTACCCCTGGAGCCGTTTTCTTCCTGTAATAGCCGCTTGCGATGCACAGATTTCCCGTCAGGGCGACGAGCATGTCCCGGGAGCATGCAGAACCCCCTACACCCACACCTATTTCACCTAGAAGAGTATGTACTGACTCTGTCGAATTATAGTGGACGGAAGATGAGGTGTGCACCTGGATTAGCATATACTGGTTCTCGACGGCCGGACCCCGCGCTTCCGTTCAACTGTATTACGAGTTCACAAACACCTCCACGTTACTGAAGGAGGAGTCTGATGTTGCCTGGGCCTCGGACCGTGATCAGATTATGGCCTGGCAGGACGTCAAGATCGGGTTGGGACACTTCCCTCGCGATGTCCTCGTCCTGCCGGGAGAATGGGGTCACGTGCTTGGGAATGTGGTCTTCGAGAAACACCACGACAAGGGTGGGCATTTCGCGGCGTGGGAGGCCCCCGATGCGCTTGTGGGTGATCTGAGGGAGATGTTTGGGACCAAGGGTGGTGCCGAAGGTTCGGTGAAGACTGCATAGGTAAGGCGAGTTTGCGAGCAAGGGGGGCGAGAATGAGATTTCGCAGTACTTAGGAATGTGTTTCCCCAGGCGATTATATGCTCCTTGAGCTAGGCTTTAACGGATTCAGGGAAATTGATATGAGATCATTAGTGTTTAGGATATAGGAAGCAGGCAAAAAGAATGGGATAAGAGGTTCTAGTAACTGCCTAGGTAGGCTTTGAAGTAGCTATGGCTAAAGAAGGAGCAAAAAAATGAATGAATGAGGAAAATATACACCATCACGGAGGTTCGAACTCCGGCCCCTGGAAATTTCCATATGTATGAAAATCCAGTATCCTAAACCACTAGACGATGATGGTTTGTTGAGGTGTGTGCTTGCTATTGTGCTTGATGTGCTTGGTAGGAGGCAGGGAGGCAGGGAGGTACATACAGGTAGGGTGCTTAGGTAGGTAGGTACCTTGGGTATGTATCAGAGTGAGCCGGCAAGGTGCATTGGACCTATTCTGTTTCTATGTACCTAGGTACCTATGCTGTTTATGACGTTCCTGTATTGTGTACAACTGGGACTTCACACAAGTACCTGCCTAGGTAGCACCTTAAGAGGTAGGTACCTAGGGTAACAAAGGAGGTATCACTAGACATTATTCTCTATGCGGATTTGTACCGGCCGTAGGAATTCGATCTACAATGCCACCGTAAAAACTTCTCGGTTCACTCAGCTCATATATCGCCTTATCATATTGTTGTTCATCAAGCAATGTTGTTTGATGTTCTGAGGCAAAGTTTCTATGACACCGTCTAAATCACTGTCCTCTTATTTTGTCAAGGTCACACAAAGAATTCTATCATCATTGCTACGCAAGTGTTGCGTTTTAACTCCCTTAATTATAGTTCCAATTAATTAATCAAATACCTTAAGTCTCATTAATGGGGTGACTATGCGTTATGCATAAGACGTAACGATAAATCTTAGTTATACTGCATAGGACTAGGGGACAACCGGAACGAGGTATGACGGCTGACATTGATTGTTCTGAAACCCCTCATCGTGAATGGTTCGGCTGCATACAGATATCTATCATGCGTTTTTGAATTAGTGACACACATTGTCTCACTGTGAATATCTAGAAGCATGTCGACCGTTGGCGTTGACTTAGAATCATGAGAGCCACGTTTATTGAGGCAGTGTCCATCTTGGAGTCATTTATACTCTCACGAAGGCTTTTCTCATACATGCTCCCTAATACTTTAGAATGAATCTATTTTTTATTCCCTGCCATCATCTGGATTCCGAGATTCGGCTTCGCCCTCGGGTTTGGTGAGTACAGGGGAAGCAAAAACTGCGCCAAAATATCGAGATTGGGACTCAGCAACACGGGCTACCAGCAGCCAAAATTTTACCAAATGAGCTGATAGTCAATTGTTGGTAACTTTTAGCCCGCAGAAGCACCGATTCGGTAATATAGTAAGCATCCTCGCACAGAGGTTTTGATATATGGAACCGGCAAGACACCTTGCCACTTACGTCTGCTTCTTGATATTACTCTACACAACTGTATTACCTGCTGTGAATATGATTGAGTTCCTAAAGTGACAGACTTACTGATACCTACGGGACTAAGTTGCGTTCTTGTCTATATATCCTTGTTGGGATGGTTGCAAGCAACTGGTATTATCCATGTCTGTGTACGCGTACTTCTCAGTTGTATCAAAGCGTTCCCCTTAATCTCAGTCCCTAGTTTTAGTCCTCAAAATAAGCACCCTTACCTATGAACCATGAGGATTTCCCAGGTCTTTGGGCGGCTGCGGCCGCGTGGAGAGAGTAACCCAGCCAGCTATCATCTGCTCGAAAACGAGATTGATCACCTTGAGCAAGAAAAAGATGCGGAAATATCTTATTTTGATCTCGAGCCCCATATATCATCCGCCGGAACAAGCACACCTAGAAAACAATCATCATTCTTGCGTTGGCTTCGAATACTCAAAGTTCTTGTCCCTAGCTTCTTACAAACATCAACTGGGCAAGTTGAACCAAAGAAGAAGCGGCCGACGGCATGGCTCGGTTAGTACATTCAGCTTATATATTTCCGTATCCTATCGCACCAAACTGATAGATTTAAGATGGCCTCCGCGGAGTTGCGGCATTATTCGTTGTTCTGCACCACATGTCACTGATCTGGTTCTCCTGGGACATTCACAATGGCTGGGCCGACTGGGATGACCATCTCATCCAGCTTCCGATAATCCGTCTAGCCATCTCTGGACCCCCTAACGTCATGGTCTTCTTCGTCATTTCAGGCTGTGCACTAAGCTGGAAGTCATTAAATCTCATTCAGAAAGGCGAATATCTCGAGATGTATCAGGCACTAGCGTCCTCCATATTCCGCCGTCATTCGAGACTGTTTATTCCAGCTATAGTTATATGTGCCCCTGCCCCGGTCATCGCCTATCTCGGAGGCTACAGTGGAGAAGGCATGCCTGGCGCTGCGATAAGACCGATGAACCCTCCTCGATCCGAAACTATCTGGGGCCAATTTGGGAACTACATCGGGAGTATAATGCCTCTTTCTGACATATATGGCCCTCCATACAACATCGCCTGGGTCTATAGTGATTCATTATGGACATTACCGATAGAGTTTAAGAGCTCATTGGTGGTGTTCTCTATGCTGCTTGCGCTGTCGAGATGCACGACGCGCGCTCGCATCTTGATCACGCTGTGTGTAGCATGCTATTCATTTTGGTATGTCCACTGGGGAGAGTTTCTATTCGTAGGTGGCATGCTTATAGTCGAGTCGAATCTTCGATGTCAACGACAAGCTAGCGTAAGAGAACTAAGGCTTAACGAAGGTGATGACGACAGCTTCGAAGCCAAGCCAAACAGATCACCTTGGCCCAGGGTTTTAAGGAGTCAAGCTTTCCGTCGATGTTGTTCTACTGCAGCGTTTCTAACTGCGTTATTTATACTAAGCATGCCGAAGCATGACCGACGCGCTGCCGATAGCTACGGCTTTAAGACACTGGTCTGGCTCATACCTACCCATTTCTCTGCTATAGGGGCTGGGGACTCTTTCTGGCAACCTTTGGCTGCAGTGTTTCTTGTTCTGGCGATCGACAATGCAAAATTATTGCAACGGATCTTCACGACTCGGCTTGCGCAGTACCTTGGCCGCGTGTCGTTCGCGCTTTATTTAGTCCACATGCTTATTTTACATAGTCTAGGTTTTTGGCTAGGGAAATACTTCGTGCGGCTCACAGGCTCAGAGTCATACTGGCAGTACGGGACAGGTATCGGTCTGGCTGCTGTCATTATCGGGTTTGTAATCATGTGCGCCGCTGATTTGGGCTCACGCTTTGTAGATACCAACACGGTAAGGTTTACGGTGTGGGTTTACGAAAAACTATGTGAAGAAGCCGTTGAGAGGTGAGGAGAGGGGGAACTAATGAGAGTACATATATCGATGATGGCCGTGACCGAACTCTCTATTGACTATGTAGCCGATGACGATGGTTAGGGTTAGCGCTAGCTGGAGCATCCTTGTCTGACAGTAACAGATTACGATATAAGTAGCATTTATAATGACCAGAATCATAATTATGCGACAGAACCGGATAATAGTAAATCTTGTCATAAGATATTAATGTGCGGATAAGGAGAGCATATTGGGTGCCCTTGAACATGTAACATACCGGGTTCTTTTCTTTTTGTTCTCAGTAGTAGAGCAATAATAAATCCTCGGCATCCGTTAATAGATCCGATGACTTTATATCCTTTATTTCCTTGATAACAATGAATAACCTCCTTCTGAAGCTATCTTATGTATAAGGGTTGTGAAGTGTTGATTGTGGCCTTTATAGGGTCATGCGGGGACTCCTATTAGGGTGATTCCTTCTGACGACCCAGTTCTTGAATCCTAAAATAATGCCACTAATACATCACCGACATAGTACAATTTTATACGTGTCACTGAGACAAAGTTGAGAGATTAGCATAGAAGGGAAGATAGCTGTGTTCTAATATAATTTATTTCTTTATGATGCATACTCTCATATCTTAACTATAGACTTTAGTAGTACATGAGGCAACTTCTAAGGAGCTTTGTATAGATGCTCTAGGTGGGCTAACATCAAACCGAGTAAGTACCTAAATCAACCTGCAAGGATGCGGACCGAAGACTTTTTCACTTTCACGATGGACAACACTTCTGCCTGTCGTAGTCCTAACCAAGAACTCATTCGCATGGGTACGCCAAATTGGACTCTCCTAGCTAAGCGCAACTTTGCGGGTGAAGATTGAGTAAGCCTGAATATTCTAGAGATATTTGTGTTCATTCCTCAGCCCGGGAACGTATGGACGGTGGCTGAGCTAGCGGAAGTGCAATGCTTGAAAATGAAGAGGAATATTGAGCACACGATGACTTCGAATTCTAATACACGACGGTTCGAAATTTGATCTTACACAAACACCAAATAATGGCATATAAAGATGTAGGAATGGATTTCACGACGGGTCCATTCAATTCTCGCATTCACCCCTTCAAGCCACTTCTGCACCTCTATCTGTTCCGATCAAAAGCGACTTCATATTTTTCTATTTATTCGAAAAATTCTTATAATATACTATACGCACCCCGCGCAATGTATTTTAAGACATTTATCTCATTTATTAGCTTAGCGCCCTCGCTATCTGTTAGTGCGCCTTCACCTCGTTGTCGAGAGTTCGCAAACTTGGTCCCAAGAAGTTTGCGGTTACGAGGCGGTCCCAAAGTATGACCCCTTAGCGTCGTCTACCTTCTTGGAAGTAAAAAACCAGACCTTTGGCGTTTCTTATGGCGCGGGCATCGCGCTGGGAACTATCGGGACCGAAAAGGTAAAGCTCGGCGATCTCGCGGTACACGATCAGATAATCGGGGCCGCCGATAGAATTACCGTCCCGGGCGATGGAATATCTAGCGGAATCCTTGGGCTCGGATACCCTATCCTAACATCTGCGCACCCTGGTGAGAGTGTAGCCAACGATAGTATATCGCTTCTAACGAACAAGGTGTTCTACGACCCACTGCTATTGCGCATGCGTAAGCAAGGCCTGATCCCCTCCTGGTTCAGTCTGACGCTTGATAGGCTGCCGAGAGGTCAGTCAATAGGGAACAGAGGGCTGTTCGGCCTTGGTGCGTTGCCCGATGTGAAGATTAGCGGGCCATTTATTGCCACACCCGTGGAGATTACGGACGGGATACCAGCCGAGCTAACTAATGGCAAGATCAGCGAATGGACTTTGACCGTAGAAGGCGTGACTTGGAGCGCCGGAAACTCATCAAGAACCGCCAATGTCAACGTTACACGTTTCCAAACCGTCGTT